TTCGTTCATTTTAAACAAAAGTTATTCGGTATGAAGAGAAGAGGAATAAGCTGAGATTTTAGTGAGAGATACAAAGTAGTACAAATTGCGTAATGATAAGTTACAAAGAAAGTACAAATGTACAATGGTCATAGGGATCACCATAAAGCTGTCAGTAAAATTCAAGGGAGAGGTGGTACGTCGAATTTTGTAGTGATGCCGCTTTATCGCCCGCTGTTTGGCGCTGCTGCGTCCGAGAAGCCTATCCTGCACGAGATTGGCCAAAATTCGGATCACTTCTCGGTTCGGCTCCAAGGCGAGCTGTTACCTATCGATAACCTGCACCCAACTGCCAGTCATGACCCAAAATTTTCCGAATGCCGGTTTCCAGTGAAACATTCAGGGTGTGCCAGATGTGGTCGTAACCTACACTTTATACGCGCAACTGTTTTGACTCAGTTTTGAGCGTTAACATACGTTGTGCAACTACGATAGTTGGTTTGGCGGGAACACTAAACCGGGATATTTCAACAAGGAACCAAGCTGAGCCACCCTTTACTACGTTTTCCGGGTCGCACGAGTTCGGAGAAACCGCAAGGCATAACAGGATGTTGGTAAACTTTACCAGAAATGTCTTATAAAGACTTCGACTTCTCCTCCCTACATTCACCTCCCCTGCTAGATCGTCCCTTTGTTGTCCAAATCACTAATTGTCTCCGGGACACTCAATCCACCGTCTCGGAAGTTCTACCCCCGCCATTCATTGTGTTTGATTTCCCTTACAACGCTGCCTCTCTGCCTACTTAAGTCGAACTGTCCTCCGTCTCAGATTGTATAATAGCATATATTGGCAGTCTCGGCGTACCTTGATGACTAGACTACTTAGCACAGATCCATCCTTATACCGTTTGGCCACTTACTATAATCAACCTAACTGTGGCAAGCTCCCAATTTTTCTGACAACTCTTGTAACTCGTCCGGCCTTATTGATCTCATCTCATTTTACCCTCTTCCCAAGCTTCGACCTGCGGTACTACGTGCCATGGACCTCCTGTTTGGCCGTTATCCACTGCGGTCGATCTGTGCATTACACCCGAAGCGGTCGCCGACGGGACAAATATCATGCTTTATCCCACTGGATTGTGCTTTCCCTGCGGAATACCCTGGAAAACCAAAACATCCCGCCGCCCGCCCACCTGCCTGTCTCAAGCCAACTACCTCAACCGTGACGTCCGTCACGAGGCTGTCCAGAAAGTGAAATATATCAGTGCAGTGACGGCACGGCACCGCCATACCCAGGTTGAAAGCATGCCCACAAGTACTCACTTCCCACTTTGACCGCACCGTCTCGCTCACTCGTTCACAAACCTGCAACCAAAATCAAAGTCTTGGTCTGGCCCTAGCGTTCATTCCAATCTACTGAACCTTCTAAGGGATCTAAACATCTCGGTACCCTTTACATTATACTCCTCACTAAGTCGGTCAATATCCGTGCACTTTGCGTTCCTTCTTGGGCGTTTGCGTCAGCTTATTCTCTCGGAAGACTTTTTCACCTAACTGCGCTGCAGCCAGGAGGAGTAGTTTAAGGCCGCAGCGCTATCTGCTGATTTCCAAAAGCAGTGCTGATTTCCAAAGCATAGCTTCAGCGATGTTTGAGCGAGTGAAAGCAATGTGTACAGAGGAGGTAGACCGAAGAGCAGCACAACGTGAGGTAAAAAAAGCGACCTTAAGTTAGCGGATACGCAGGTGGTCCTTATTAAGCGGCAACTAAGACGGGCATTGGTGCCAACACCAAGTCCCAACAAGGAGTGGATCCGAACAACGGTCATTCCATACAAAAAAGCGTCATACCAAAACATCCCGCCGCCCACAGAACTGCACGTCTCAAGCCAACTACCTCAACCGTGACGTCCGTCACGAGGCTGTCCAGAAAGTGAAGTATATCAGTGCAGTGACGGCACGGCACCGCCATACCCAGGTTGAAAGCATGCCCACAAGTACTCACTTCCCACTTTGACCGCACCGTCTCGCTCACTCGTTCACAAACCTGCAACCAAAATCAAAGTCTTGGTCTGGCCCTAGCGTTCATTCCAATCTACTGAACCTTCTAAGGGATCTAAACATCTCGGTACCCTTTACATTATACTCCTCACTAAGTCGGTCAATATCCGTGCACTTTGCGTTCCTTCTTGGGCGTTTGCGTCAGCTTATTCTCTCGGAAGACTTTTTCACCTAACTGCGCTGCAGCCAGGAGGAGTAGTTTAAGGCCGCAGCGCTATCTGCTGATTTCCAAAAGCAGTGCTGATTTCCAAAGCATAGCTTCAGCGATGTTTGAGCGAGTGAAAGCAATGTGTACAGAGGAGGTAGACCGAAGAGCAGCACAACGTGAGGTATAAAAAGCGACCTTAAGTTAGCGGATACGCAGGTGGTCCTTATTAAGCGGCAACTAAGACGGGCATTGGTGCCAACACCAAGTCCCAACAAGGAGTGGATCCGAACAACGGTCATTCCATACAAAAAAGCGTCATCTGAAGTCATTAGAAGAGTACTGAATACGGCTAACATTATAGTAGCTTCCCAGAAGGGGAAGACTTTACGCTCGGTATTGGTGCATTTGAAGGATCGCTTTCCGGATGGTAGGACTAGGAACTGTGTATACAAAATAAAATGTAACGACTGTACGAAGGTTTATATAGATCAGACAGCCAGGAAATTGCACGCCAGAATCGGTGAGCATAAGCGTCCGATTAACAGACCACCGAGAAACGCAGATGAAAACCGGGCGTTAGTCGACTATTCGGCAATGGCATGGCGTGCTCTCAACACTGGGCACAGGATACATTTAGAAAATGTAGACATCCTGAGACGGGATTTGAGATTTACAGCACAGCGACTGGTGGCCGAGGCAGTGGAAAGCGCCAAGCATCCCAGTGTGAATAGAAAAGGGGGGGCAGAACTTGCAAACATGTGGAGAGTGTTCTTAGGCCAGCCGAGATACCACGAGGTGGTGTGCAGTTAGCAGCGAAATGGTCTGGGTCTAAAAGTCTAAAAGTAAGTAGAGTTAGATGCAATTAACCACCCCGCCCCCATCCCCAAACCAGTTGTCCCAGCACCCTTTAACGAACACAAGTGAAGGAAATCCGTGAACGACCCCAAAGATGAATTTTCCATCGAGGTGTCCTAGACTAAAAGGAACATCAGACTGAACACCCAGCACTGATCAATTCACTAGTCATAAGGAATCTCACAGATTATTTCCCTGACTGCCTTAAAACCCAATCAACCTGCTTAACTACTCCCTTGGCCTGACGAAGCTTTTGTGTCAAAAGCGAAACGTTGCCCAGCAATAAATCCACCGATTGTTTACCAAATCCCTCTGAAACAATCAAAGATTGTTATAGCTGTACTTCTAGCGTAATCACAGAAGGTTCAGCAAGGTCGCGCTGGAGACCTGCGGTCTGGACCGGGCAGCTGGTGTGTGAAGGCCAATGTCAGGATGGTATATAAAGTGGTGTCGAGCTACAAATGGTCATTCCTCGCTTGCTCCGCTTGCGGTCCGGTGAGCATAAGCGTCCGATTAACAGACCACCGAGAAACGCAGATGAAAACCGGGCGTTAGTCGACTATTCGGCAATGGCATGGCGTGCTCTCAACACTGGGCACAGGATACATTTAGAAAATGTAGACATCCTGAGACGGGATTTGAGATTTACAGCACAGCGACTGGTGGCCGAGGCAGTGGAAAGCGCCAAGCATCCCAGTGTGAATAGAATAGAGGGGGTAGAACTTGCAAACGTGTGGAGAGTGTTCTTAGGCCAGCCGAGATACCACGAGGCGGTGTGCAGTTAGCAGCGAAATGGTCTGGGTCTAAAAGTCTAAAAGTAAGTAGAGTTAGATGCAATTAACCACCCCGCCCCCATCCCCAAACCAGTTGTCCCAGCACCCTTTAACGAACACAAGTGAAGGAAATCCGTGAACGACCCCAAAGATGAATTTTCCATCGAGGTGTCCTAGACTAAAAGGAACATCAGACTGAACACCCAGCACTGATCAACTCACTAGTCATAAGGAATCTCACAGATTATTTCCCTAACTGCCTTAAAACCCAATCAACCTGCTTAACTACTCCCTTGGCCTGACGAAGCTTTTGTGTCAAAAGCGAAACGTTGCCCAGCAATAAATCCACCGATTGTTTACCAAATCCCTCTGAAACAATCAAAGATTGTTATAACTGTACTTCTAGCGTAATCACAGAAGGTTCAGCAAGGTCGCGCTGGAGACCTGCGGTCTGGACCGGGCAGCTGGTGTGTGAAGGCCAATGTCAGGATGGTATATAAAGTGGTGTCGAGCTACAAATGGTCATTCCTCGCTTGCTCCGCTTGCGGTCCGGGTGCCCACGGGGCGCAGCACGCCGCCACCACGGTTGCAACGACGGTACGGCCAAGTAGGGTGGCTAAATGTGGTAGAATGTCATGCAGGTTCACAGGATGTATCCTCGGACGAACAGAATGTCGGTGAAGTGCGTTCTCACTGGAATGCTAATCAAAAAGGTCGACGGTAAGTTGATATTTTTGCGCACAATCATGCAAATTACGTCCGATTGCTAAGTGGATGCTGCGAACTGACGTGTGAATGCTCAGCAGGAGCGTGTTGTTTTTGGATTGTTGCGACATTCTAAGTCGTCCATGGAAATCCGAGACTATGTCCGGGTGAACTATTGAATAGACTTCACCGGTGATAATGTGTGGGTCCTGCGCGATAAAATACGCCGCTTGGACTATCCTGTATGTGATCTGCAGGGTATTCGAGATCCGATGCGCCCATTTGGACCCATGGCTGTGTCTGTTTGTGATGACGGGAGTTTGAATGTTCTCGGTCTTGCTTCCGTCCGTCTATGTGGTTTGCTAGCAAGGTATGGTGATGCGATTCAGGCAGATTCAACCTAGCACCTCCAATGCTACCAGACGCAGGTGTTGGTGGTGGGTGGGTTTTTCTGCCGTTAGATCCATCCCCTCTGGTCGTTTCCATTCCGTTGCCTTGCACTAATTCTTTTCCCATTTACTTTCCAGACACAACTGTGGAACACATTTTTAATGGTTCTGTTATTTGCTGGCAATCAACCATAATAAAATTATGTTTTCCTAAACTCGGTCTCATATTTCCCGACAACGCAAGCGTCACGGCAACCAAGGCATCCAGGCCTTGAGTTGAAGACCAGCTGGCGTATGTGAGAAAAAGGTGGCGTAATTTTCCGGTTTCGTCTATAGCCTCCGAGTAGTCCCGAAACCTTCTAAGACAACTTGGGGTCGCCTCTAACAGCATACGTTTAGCATTATGTACAATAGCCCGGCAGCCTAACTGTGCCTGAAACACTTATTGCGCTTCATGGGTGTTTCACGTCACGCGGTTACTGGTTGCGCAATCGACAAATATTATTCAATCCGAAGATTCTATGACAGGGGCGCAACGTCTGTTGTTACATAGTATGTAGAGTCGCCAACGAAAAGGGAACGAATGATTTCCAGCCACAACTGAGTTTCAGGGTTCAAAACCTACAGTTGTGACGAAAGTTGCTGTTGCTTTAGGTATAGCTGATATGTGTCGTCAACAGTCGCATCAGAAGTTTGTGGCAATAGTGGTATTCCAAGCTTAGCGTTCATTGCTCACTAAATACGTCAACAGCTGCATACATTATTTTGTGTACTCAGATGATTGGTACTCAGAGCTGCAGCTCTGGCCTAACCACAGACACTATCGTTGATTCGTTGGCTCCGAAGGACGCACCGGCAGTTCTCTCATTATAAACCAAAGTTAGGGCTGTCCATGAACACACCGGGTCTTGCACCTAGGGCAGTCAATGAATATATCGGGTGCCTTAGCTACCAAACAAAAATTCAAGGATACATGGCCTTCAATGGATTCATTGAGGGGAACATATACTATTACACCTAGGCTATTCCTTTAATTCAAACGAATAACGGTTTCATAATATGTGAACGATGCTGATTGCAAACAGCCAATACACCAGCGTCAGCTGCTAAATCTTGGCTGTTCTGACTAATTGCTTTTTGTTACCGCCAGTACTCCCAAATATCATCTTCCTTTGGAGATATAGTTAACTTAAGGAACAAAATATAGGATTACACTCTTTACGACCAAGCTATTTGAAGCTACCGGGAATCGCATACTCTTTGCGTTTATTATATTTGAAAAGCTGATAGCGATGTAAACTTATCAAGGACACAACGGCATCGTAATTCTTCGCTATGTTTGAGAGGGTCAATCCTAAACCACAAATCCGCCATGTTGCCACTTTTGAATGTTCCCGCCATCTAGGTATCAACCAATCAGAATGGGGATGACTCCGCAAGTCGCGTAATCGCGGCTAGAAAGCTACTGGGAACAAGCAGTCGTGTAGATGAAGCAGATGGCTTGGATATTAAATGTGAGCGAGTTAAAGAAGCATATCTCTCAACTTCCAGAGCTGTTTTTCCAAGCCACCTTCACAAAGACGCTGGACCTTATTGTGGTGTGACGGTTTGCGCACCTCAGTGACCCATTGAGCTACACTGGGGTTGTCCCCACGACACTCACCAGGTTGATCAATGGTTAGAGGTCTGACAAACAGTCTACTTTTCCTCCAGGTTGGGGGTGGGAGCATGTGGCGACAATCCGTAGAAATATTAATGCATTTGCATTTCACACCAAACACCGCTGCTTTGCGGTTAGGCTTTTGAGCCAAAAGCGTTGGTCGAGGACCCTAATCGTCCTCCTGTCTAGGTGCGGGCGCGCACACAGCGCTATTATGCTCACGTCTAACACATGTCACATCAGCCATCACGTGTTGCCATCAACTGAGTCGCCTTACTCGCTGCGTACAGCAGGATGGGTAAGCGAAAACAGGTTACTGGTGGCGCCCTTCTTTCCCTTTCACATACTTTCTCTTCCTCCCCACCTCATTAATAGCTCTCTCTAACACTTAGGACTGGTGACTCCGTTCGTCTTCCATCGATTTTGCGTGCAACGTCTGCTCGTCACATGGCACTGATATCCTCAGGTATCTCGAAATCAATCTTAAAGCATCGACGCCCAGTCTATCTGGCTGCCTTTAATGTCCGCACTGAGGCAAGCAGACCAACATGATGCTCTTTCTGTCGCACTGGACTTGCTCGGGATTGATGTGTGGTGTGTATCGGAAACAAGAATTCGTGATGCAAGCAAGGTGTTTGAACTAACCGCTCCATCAGTCTCCATTCGCTTCCGGCTACGCACCTCTGGTGATCCAGAGGCTGCTGTGGCGGGATGTGTACGGGTTGATATCGTCCAAAGTCACCGGATGGAAATAACCTTGTTTGACTGGATACCTGTTGATAATCACCTCCGCGCGGTTCGTCTGGCAACGTCTGTGAGGGAGTCTCACAAGTTGCTCGATGTCTGTCAATCGTATCTGCTTACGCCCCAACTGATTGTAGCACCGACGCCGTCAGACTGGTTTTACGACACTGAATGCCCTGTTAAAGTGAGCTAAAAGTTCAGATATCGTGGTGGTTGCCGGAGATATAAACGCACAATTGGGGAGGCTTAGCATATATGAGACTCAGTTAGGAGGTCGACACGGATTGGAGTCGGTACGTATACCAGCCCTCTTCGAACGTAACCTAATGACGAATTATCATACGTCAACTGAGAGTGAGCGTGCAAGCCGATAGTGAAGTGTTGTGGACACAGAAAGCCAAGAAAATGGAAGAGGCCAAGAAAGGCGACAATGCCTGAGGATTATTTCAGTTGATACGTGCGACCGGTCGCCGGAAACCGGTCAGCGAAACCATCAAGTCATCCTCATCATTGTCAGCTGTAAGAACCGCCCACTTGTCGTGTGGTGGTTCTAGCTGATACAATTTCGTTCACCGATGGTTCAGGGAGGTGGGGTAGATAACTGTGCATTGGAGGCGGGAGCTCATAAATTAGTGCGTAAATACAGCATTGTCACCTGCACTGTGTCACCTGTGGCGTAGGTATGGCCTCAGCTTATCTATCAGGGGTCGAGGTTACAATTCTGCGATGCGCTCCGTACTATTATATGGGTGATAAACTTGGCCTCTGCGCACCGAGGACGTCAAGAGACTTCCAGTGTTTGACCATCGATGTCTTGGTATGGCCTTTATCTATCAGGGGTCGAGGTTACAATTCTGCGATGCGCTCCGTACTATTATATGGGTGATAAAGTTGGCCTCTGCGCACGCACCACGTCAAGAGACTTCCAGTGTTTGACCATCGATGTCTTCGGAGCATTGCTCGAGTCTGGTGGGGACACCGGATCAGCAATGCTGAAGTACGTCGAATGGTTTTCGGGAGAAATAACTCACCCCTGATAGATAAACTGATCGCACTGCATAGGTTGCACTCTCTTGGCGACGTGCTGGGTATGGCACTCGACCGACTTCCTCGAAGGGCTCTTTTTGCAGAACCACGTGAAGGATGGAATAGAGTCAGAGGCGGACAAACAACGACTTGGCGGCGAAGTGTGAAAGCCCTTACCAACAAACTCAGCTGCACTGGTCATTGCCGTCTTCCTGGATGGCGGCCCCAAGGCGGGCCATATCAATGGTCAGAGACATTGTCAGACATGCCCCAGTCGTGCCCTAAATGCTGCTTATGCATCCAAATCATTGCTCTGAATGCATGACGCCCTTCCGGATCCTCCCACCCAAAAGCTTACTGACAACCCTGTATTACACACCACTTTATCCGCTCCCGCTCAATGCGCACCTACTTGCCCCATCTCCCCAAATCATCGATGAACGAAACTGTGGCAGCTGCAACCATTGTACCGCAAGTGGGGGGTTCTTACAGCTGATACTGATGATGGTGATGATGATGATAATGGTGATGGTGGCCGAGATGACCAAGTTCCCCTTGTGATATAAATCCCCTCACCAGATAGTCGTTTTATTCTGTCCCGTCCGTGTTCTCAAAGATGATTTAGTGTGTAACTGAAGAAAGAAAAGTAATCGCCAGTCTATTTGACCGATAGGTCTCCAGATATCTCGGAGCGTCACGGTGCTGTGGTTATCGGGCCTTGAAATGCTGCGACTTTGTCATTCCGGTTTGTCGTCCAACATCTTCGACCGCCTTTGGAAAACAAGGAAAAAGAAGGGGAGACATTTCTTGTTGATAAACTCAAATGTCCTTGTTCAGTTTCTAATTTTCTGCGGATGACATTTCTAGGTCTTATTTTGTAAATTCTAACTACTACTTTAACCTTTGCGTGTAATAAAAATCGGCTAAATTCCTTCACTTATCGCCTTTCTCAGGAGGCTAAGTAAAATTTGATTGTTCAACTGTATTCATATTTCATTATCAAACTTATTATTGATGTTTCAGCTCTGAATCGGCCAGATGGAGCAGGTCACCTGGTGTTTTGTTGTTCCATTGTATCCAATACATTTTCAAAACACCGTCGGAGCCGTAATGCAGCACGTCGCCTCATATGTAAACCGGTTTGTTCCCGATTTGAACGCACTTCTGGTAAAGTTTGAAAAAGAAACCTTACGTCTGTTGACTTCGGATGAGAATCCCGGTGTCTCACATTGTACACTTGTTCCCATCCGTCCGGAATTACCAACCTTGTATATCCGTGCGCAACTCGCCGTGTCTGTGTTTTCTCCGCGCGTTGGTATGCAGATGACAGCCACAGTCTCGGCCTTAATGTCTCGTTTGATCATATGCAAAACGGATATCCCAAATGTCAGTTTAAGTGTTCCACTTTGTCCGGAAAATGATGTATCCAACGCTAGCTTGAGTTCCGAGAAGAAGATTATGGATACAACAGTAAGGGTAAACGACGTCATTCGTGTTCGGTTGTCTGCGGTGTCCCTTCATCCGAACGTAGTGTTGCTTCGTGGTAACCTCATTGGTGTTCTCTCTAGTGACGCTGACCCGGTTCCAATGCTAGCTAGTAAGGATTTGCATAATTCGGGTGATGGAGGTGACAGTTTATTTGCAAAGGCAAGGAAACGTAGGAAGGCGATTTCACCGGATGTCTTGAAATCGAATGAAGAAATGGTAACCATCAAAAGTGAACCTGAACCCGAACAATGGATTCAAAAAAAGCGTCCTTTTACGGAGAATGAGCAGCCCGTGGACATGTCATCAGCGGACTCGAGTGATGTGATAGAACCACCAAAGAAAAAGAAACGAAAATCAGAGCTTGAATTGAGCTCCTCTGTTGTCGGTAGTTTGATCAAGCTGGCTTTACCTGCATCCTCGGACGGAGTACATGTTTCTGCAGAGGACTACAAAGTCATTGTTGAGACGCCCGTCTCACATACTTCATCTAAATCTTCCCCAACAACCAGTAGGACTCGATTTAAACAGGATGTTTCATCTTTCTACAATAAACCAGAGCCTTTTTGATACCAAACGGGAATTTTTTATTCGTTCTCTTTAACTTATTTGGATGTTAACTTGGTCACCTTGGGTTTTCGCGAATGACATAAACATGGTGTATATTTAGGATGTTCTGTGGGACAGGTTTTCTTGGGCACTCGGAGAACTACTACTCAGATTCTGCTGAGTTGCAGCGAAATTCTTGCTTGAAGCAGTTACTCAACAATTCCGCGCTTCCTGGTATTCCACAAAGAAAAGAGCAGTTTTTGAGCCAGAGAACCTTCTCATTCTAATTCAGTGCTTTCGCACTTCGAAATTAGGCGAATAGGTATGCTTCCTTATGTAAAAGCTTCATCCGCATAGAATTTCAATATCTGGATAACGCTTCTGCGTGACCAACTACCATCTCCTTTTTCCGTTTCCCAGTAGGACGCTATCGAGATAAGAAAGTGATGGATCGCATAAGTTTTACAAGCAGTCTGACAAACACGGACGACCAATTACCGGTCTGTACGGTGACGAGCTTCTAACCTGAGTGCCCCCGATATGTGTCGTATCCTAAATAGCTGCTCATGTATAGTCTATGTAGATGAACTCTGTTTCTGCTTTCACTTTGTTACTTCATATCGCCGCTTACTTCATTAAGTCAGTCGATTATGTATCAAGAAACCCTGCGAATAAGTTGTTGTTACGCACTCGACTTTTGTCGAGTTACACTATTAGATCCTATTCCTATCCACGTTTTTGATATGTCCACACATGTCCGATTGCCTGTGATATCTTTTTATACTTCCATTTATCCAAATAATTAGGCTGTGTCTATTATGAAACTCTGCTAAATGCGCGAACTGGATTCATCGATTCAGCATAATGAAGCAGGATCTACACTCAATAAATTTACGTAGGACGGGTGGTACTTGGGCGATTTCGTGCAGCTTTGAGCTGTTTTATGAAGTAATATAGTCAATTTTACGTTAGTTAGTGCAATTCAGGAGTACACTTACATTTATTCAGTTTGTGCACGTTTTTTGTAGCGACAAAGCATAATTTCATCGAAATACAATACCTCTATATCTCCGGTGGTTCAAGCCTAAGTGGACTATAAAGTACCAGTGGGATAATTTCCAGAATAAATTTGCTTAGTGGCACCGAAGTGGCCTATGGAGGTGGCCGTTTGTCGCACTAAATAACGGCGTCCTGGTCCTTTTTGATTGCCCACCTCGCTTGAATGTTCAGTTTTAACTGATGGATCAAGTGGATGGAGCACGAATCTACTGACCGGAAGGTCCGTGGTTCGAACCCGACCTCTGCCACTCGACTTCCCCTGTCTAGGCTTGGGCGACCTGGCAATATCCCAGCCCTCGTGCCTCCTTCGTGTGGCATGGCAGCTAGGCACCGAAATGGTGCTACAGCTGAACGACCTACGTCTAACACATGTCACATCAGCCATCACGTGTTGCCATCAACTGAGTCGCCTTACTCGCTGCGTACAGTAGGATGGGTAAGCGAAAACAGGTTACTGGTGGCGCCCTTCTTTCCCTTTCACATACTTTCTCTTCCTCCCCACCTCATTAATAGCTCTCTCTAACACTTAGGACTGGTGACTCCGTTCGTCTTCCATCGATTTTGCGTGCAACGTCTGCTCGTCACATGGCACTGATATCCTCAGGTATCTCGAAATCAATCTTAAAGCATCGACGCCCAGTCTATCTGGCTGCCTTTAATGTCCACACTGAGGCAAGCAGACCAACATGATGCTCTTTCTGTCGCAATGGACTTGCTCGGGATTGATGTGTGGTGTGTATCGGAAACAAGAATTCGTGATGCAAGCAAGGTGTTTGAACTAACCGCTCCATCAGTCTCCATTCGCTTCCGGCTACGCACCTCTGGTGATCCAGAGGCTGCTGTGGCGGGATGTGTACGGGTTGATATCGTCCAAAGTCACCGGATGGAAATAACCTTGTTTGACTGGATACCTGTTGATAATCACCTCCGCGCGGTTCGTCTGGCAACGTCTGTGAGGGAGTCTCACAAGTTGCTCGATGTCTGTCAATCGTATCTGCTTACGCCCCAACTGATTGTAGCACCGACGCCGTCAGACTGGTTTTACGACACTGAATGCCCTGTTAAAGTGAGCTAAAAGTTCAGATATCGTGGTGGTTGCCGGAGATATAAACGCACAATTGGGGAGGCTTAGCATATATGAGACTCAGTTAGGAGGTCGACACGGATTGGAGTCGGTACGTATACCAGCCCTCTTCGAACGTAACCTAATGACGAATTATCATACATCAACTGAGAGTGAGCGTGCAAGCCGATAGTGAAGTGTTGTGGACACAGAAAGCCAAGAAAATGGAAGAGGCCAAGAAAGGCGGCAATGCCTGAGGATTATTTCAGTTGATACGTGCGACCGGTCGCCGGAAACCGGTCAGCGAAACCATCAAGTCATCCTCATCATTGTCAGCTGTAAGAACCGCCCACTTGTCGTGTGGTGGTTCTAGCTGATACAATTTCGTTCACCGATGGTTCAGGGAGGTGCGGTAGATAACTGTGTATTGGAGGCGGGAGCTCATAAATTAGTGCGTAAATACAGCATTGTCACCTGCACTGTGTCACCTGTGGCGTAGGTATGGCCTCAGCTTATCTATCAGGGGTCGAGGTTACAATTCTGCGATGCGCTCCGTACTATTATATGGGTGATAAACTTGGCCTCTGCGCACCGAGGACGTCAAGAGACTTCCAGTGTTTGACCATCGATGTCTTCGGAGCATTGCTCGAGTCTGGTGGGGACACCGGATCAGCAATGCTGAAGTACGTCGAATGGTTTTCGGGAGAAATAACTCACCCCTGATAGATAAACTGATCGCACTGCATAGGTTGCACTCTCTTGGCGACGTGCTGGGTATGGCACTCGACCGACTTCCTCGAAGGGCTCTTTTTGCAGAACCACGTGAAGGATGGAATAGAGTCAGAGGCGGACAAACAACGACTTGGCGGCGAAGTGTGAAAGCCCTTACCAACAAACTCAGCTGCACTGGTCATTGCCGTCTTCCTGGATGGCGGCCCCAAGGCGGGCCATATCGATGGTCAGAGACATTGGCAGACATGCCCCAGTCGTGCCCTAAATGCTGCTTATGCATCCAAATCATTGCTCTGAATGCATGACGCCCTTCCGGATCCTCCCACCCAAAAGCTTACTGACAACCCTGTATTACACACCACTTTATCCGCTCCCGCTCAATGCGCACCTACTTGCCCCATCTCCCCAAATCATCGATGAACGAAACTGTGGCAGCTGCAACCATTGTACCGCAAGTGGGGGGTTCTTACAGCTGATACTGATGATGGTGATGATGATGATAATGGTGATGGTGGCCGAGATGACCAAGTTCCCCTTGTGATATAAATCCCCTCACCAGATAGTCGTTTTATTCTGTCCCGTCCGTGTTCTCAAAGATGATTTAGTGTGTAACTGAAGAAAGAAAAGTAATCGCCAGTCTATTTGACCGATAGGTCTCCAGATATCTCGGAGCGTCACGGTGCTGTGGTTATCGGGCCTTGAAATGCTGCGACCTTTGTCATTCGGTTTGTCGTCCAACATCTTCGACCGCCTTTGGAAAACAAGGAAAAAGAAGGGGAGACATTTCTTGTTGATAAACTCAAAAGTCCTTGTTCAGTTTCTAATTTTCTGCGGATGACATTTCTAGGTCTTATTTTGTAAATTCTAACTACTACTTTAACCTTTGCGTGTAATAAAAATCGGCTAAATTCCTTCACTTATCGCCTTTCTCAGGAGGCTAAGTAAAATTTGATTGTTCAACTGTATTCATATTTCATTATCAAACTTATTATTGATGTTTCAGCTCTGAATCGGCCAGATGGAGCAGGTCACCTGGTGTTTTGTTGTTCCATTGTATCCAATACATTTTCAAAACACCGTCGGAGCCGTAATGCAGCACGTCGCCTCATATGTAAACCGGTTTGTTCCCGATTTGAACGCACTTCTGGTAAAGTTTGAAAAAGAAACCTTACGTCTGTTGACTTCGGATGAGAATCCCGGTGTCTCACATTGTACACTTGTTCCCATCCGTCCGGAATTACCAACCTTGTATATCCGTGCGCAACTCGCCGTGTCTGTGTTTTCTCCGCGCGTTGGTATGCAGATGACAGCCACAGTCTCGGCCTTAATGTCTCGTTTGATCATATGCAAAACGGATATCCCAAATGTCAGTTTAAGTGTTCCACTTTGTCCGGAAAATGATGTATCCAACGCTAGCTTGAGTTCCGAGAAGATTATGGATACAACAGTAAGGGTAAACGACGTCATTCGTGTTCGGTTGTCTGCGGTGTCCCTTCATCCGAACGTAGTGTTGCTTCGTGGTAACCTCATTGGTGTTCTCTCTAGTGACGCTGACCCGGTTCCAATGCTAGCTAGTAAGGATTTGCATAATTCGGGTGATGGAGGTGACAGTTTATTTGCAAAGGCAAGGAAACGTAGGAAGGCGATTTCACCGGATGTCTTGAAATCGAATGAAGAAATGGTAACCATCAAAAGTGAACCTGAACCCGAACAATGGATTCAAAAAAAGCGTCCTTTTACGGAGAATGAGCAGCCCGTGGACATGTCATCAGCGGACTCGAGTGATGTGATAGAACCACCAAAGAAAAAGAAACGAAAATCAGAGCTTGAATTGAGCTCCTCTGTTGTCGGTAGTTTGATCAAGCTGGCTTTACCTGCATCCTCGGACGGAGTACATGTTTCTGCAGAGGACTACAAAGTCATTGTTGAGACGCCCGTCTCACATACTTCATCTAAATCTTCCCCAACAACCAGTAGGACTCGATTTAAACAGGATGTTTCATCTTTCTACAATAAACCAGAGCCTTTTTGATACCAAACGGGAATTTTTTATTCGTTCTCTTTAACTTATTTGGATGTTAACTTGGTCACCTTGGGTTTTCGCGAATGACATAAACATGGTGTATATTTAGGATGTTCTGTGGGACAGGTTTTCTTGGGCACTCGGAGAACTACTACTCAGATTCTGCTGAGTTGCAGCGAAATTCTTGCTTGAAGCAGTTACTCAACAATTCCGCGCTTCCTGGTATTCCACAAAGAAAAGAGCAGTTTTTGAGCCAGAGAACCTTCTCATTCTAATTCAGTGCTTTCGCACTTCGAAATTAGGCGAATAGGTATGCTTCCTTATGTAAAAGCTTCATCCGCATAGAATTTCAATATCTGGATAACGCTTCTGCGTGACCAACTACCATCTCCTTTTTCCGTTTCCCAGTAGGACGCTATCGAGATAAGAAAGTGATGGATCGCATAAGTTTTACAAGCAGTCTGACAAACACGGACGACCAATTACCGGTCTGTACGGTGACGAGCTTCTAACCTGAGTGCCCCCGATATGTGTCGTATCCTAAATAGCTGCTCATGTATAGTCTATGTAGATGAACTCTGTTTCTGCTTTCACTTTGTTACTTCATATCGCCGCTTACTTCATTAAGTCAGTCGATTATGTATCAAGAAACCCTGCGAATAAGTTGTTGTTACGCACTCGACTTTTGTCGAGTTACACTATTAGATCCTATTCCTATCCACGTTTTTGATATGTCCACACATGTCCGATTGCCTGTGATATCTTTTTATACTTCCATTTATCCAAATAATTAGGCTGTGTCTATTATGAAACTCTGCTAAATGCGCGAACTGGATTCATCGATTCAGCATAATGAAGCAGGATCTACACTCAATAAATTTACGTAGGACGGGTGGTACTTGGGCGATTTCGTGCAGCTTTGAGCTGTTTTATGAAGTAATATAGTCAATTTTACGTTAGTTAGTGCAATTCAGGAGTACACTTACATTTATTCAGTTTGTGCACGTTTTTTGTAGCGACAAAGCATAATTTCATCGAAATACAATACCTCTATATCTCCGGTGGTTCAAGCCTAAGTGGACTATAAAGTACCAGTGGGATAATTTCCAGAATAAATTTGCTTAGTGGCACCGAAGTGGCCTATGGAGGTGGCCGTTTGTCGCACTAAATAACGGCGTCCTGGTCCTTTTTGATTGCCCACCTCGCTTGAATGTTCAGTTTTAACTGATGGATCAAGTGGATGGAGCACGAATCTACTGACCGGAAGGTCCGTGGTTCGAACCCGACCTCTGCCACTCGACTTCCCCTGTCTAGGCTTGGGCGACCTGGCAATATCCCAGCCCTCGTGCCTCCTTCGTGTGGCATGGCAGCTAGGCACCGAAATGGTGCTACAGCTGAACGACCT